CTTGACACACAACCACTCGTGGGTAGCGAACAGAACTTCTGTAGGTCTATTAATGTTTCTACGACATTCTGAATTGCAAGACGCACTGAAGCAAACACCTTTCTAAGACACTTTTGGTTGTTCTGAACCACCGTTTGTTGATGTAACATTACGTACAGCGTCTAATATCGCCATCAAATAGTGTGACTTTGCACAGGTGTTCTAAAAAAAAACATCTTCAGATATAACCAAGCAAACTGACATGGAGAGGGGGGAAATCAAAATCATGTTTGCTGGTGGAAATTGGCTGCAAACGTGTTCAAACCGACTCCTCTCTTTCCACGGTTTCTGTTGTGGCATGCAGCTTTAGTGTTTCACTGTATTCTAAAACGCAAGGGAATAACCAAGTGATGAACTTCCTTGTTTTCTCTCGGGACCAGCCCTCTGCCCCTCTGCCCCCCCCCCTCCAAATGCCTCGTTACCTTGGAAACTACCAACAACAAGAAAGTGTTTCGACTAAAGTCAGAGGCAAATCTCGGCAAATTGGACCCCGAATAACGGAGAACAACACCTTTAGCTGATGCGGATGAAGCTGCGGATGTAACACCAGGTTCTCGATGAGGGCATTTCTGTGAGGGAATGTTGGGAGTCATGTCCGGCAGCTCTCGGATCGCTAAAGTCAGCTACAGGAGCAGACCCAGCCAGCCCTGTGCGCCCGCGGAGTCATTCAAGGAGATGCAGGTGATCACAAAAAGTGAATGAGAGTGATGATAATGTGAACTTGTTTGTTGTATTGTATTTAAAATGTGGGTCTATGATCAGTGCGCACAAAGTTCAGGGTTGGAAAAGTAATCAAATTCTCAACGTGTAAACCCCCCCCAAATGATTCAATGTATCCACAATTATCGATAATATTATTGTGATTTCCTCTCATTGCAGAATATCACTGGGTTAGGGTGGTTTTTGGTATTTAATGTGCGCAGCTGAACAATTTTGCATTCAGCCAGTTTGCAATCAGGAAAAAAAAACAACAAAAAAAACAACAGGCCCACCTTTCCTCATTATTGCAAGCTCAACTATAGTTTTGTTTTATCATTTATTATGCAAGTGTACATCTAAAAAGAGATTTCCCTGAGCATTTTGTCTAATTGTAATGCAAAAGTCCAAATGCTGTTAACAACCAAGAGTCATTTTACATTTATTCTTAGGAAACATTTGATTTTTTTCAATATTTATACAGATAGATTTAATAAATTGTAGACATATGAAGATAGCAGACTGGTGCTCCACACATATAGATTATATATATAGAGTTTAACCGAGCACGTGTATCTTTTAAGCATTGGTACAGTATGTGAAGTTAACAGTGGAATAGTATGAGTTGGAAAAGTCAAGCCTCATATCCAAATTCCCTTTACTCTTATGTGATAAAAAGACAATTGTGGAATTAATCTGCTTTTAATTTTTAAATCAGAAATTCCCTAAGCCCTTCTGATAATTGCTCTGAGAATAACTACACTGTTACAGTCATCTCGCTGGCCTCTCAGAAGTAGTTAAAAATAGCTGTGGACCAACCTACTGCACTATGTGTTGGTTGTATTTTGAGCCTCGGTCCACTAGATGGTGGGATGTTCACAGTGTAGCTGCTGTAACGTTGGATCGGCCTCAGGAGGCTGGATGATGTTGACTGCTGAACAGACAATTTTAAATCACCTCGATTTTCCATCTACATTTTATCATGATCAAAAGTAAAAGTCTAGACTAATCAGCATTTGGCTTTCAGGTGTTTATCAAATCACTTAATTCATAAAGGTCAGAATTAAATAGAAGTGATTTACAAGAGTATTGTTTATTTGAAGGTTGCGATTTTGTTAGTTAGGCAATCTTTTAATCACAGGTTACGCAAGAGTTTGGTTAAACTGCACTGTTTAATTATCACTTAAGTGCGAGTACAGTCTTAAACGTTTCACTTTGAAGGCTTCTACAATATACATGCTCAAGTTGTCACACAAAAAGCATCTCCAACGCTGCAGGAAAATTAAAGCCACAGCACTCGGATTCTGTGAGTCTGCTCCATGGACTGCATGCAAGTTAATTCAGTTTAATGCTCATTTTTGTGCAATGCTGAAAAAGATTTGCAAAGCTAGTCCTGCACTATGTGGATCAACAGAATATTGGACAGTTTCTACAGTATCTATTTGTCTCTATCTATGTTTCGTGTCGGCCTAGTAAGGCACTTTAGCTAAAAAGGAAGTTACTAAACACTATAAAGCACAGGCAGTTTATTAGATTTAATTTGTGTTTGCACTCAACAGTTAGAACCACATTTTTAAAACTTAGACATCAAAGTCTTTAAAAAAAAAAATCATGTAAGTTGAAACACAACATCCTTGTGACCTTTTTCACAGATTTGTTTAAGCCGTCCATGTCTGTATCGGTGTTCGTATTCCCTGGGAAAACAGTGGACCTCTCCTTGTCTCTGCGTATTCTCTTTCAGATCTCACCACCCCCTCATTCATTATTTAAAGTCACTCTCCTGTTTCATGGCAGCTCACAAGCAGACAGTTCAACACAAAAAAAAAATCCGTCATGGCATAGTGAAAAATTGATGACCGAGCCACTTTTTAATGCATTTCTTCGATATCAACCAGCCAGTCAGATCCTTGTGGAGAGAGCTGTGCTTCTCATCTGGTTGATGCCACAGCGAACACTAATGGAATTTAATATTAATTGGTGGGAGGTCTGTGTGTGTACGTGTGTGCATGTTCTGTGGGTAAATGATAAGGGTTAGCCCATGAGAGCTGCAACTAATGCTTCATTTTATTACAATCTAATCTACTTGCATAATTTCTGATTATTCATTAAATCTGTAAAATGTCACAAAAGTTACAGCCCATGGTGGCATTTACAAATCGCCAAAACAAAATGGTATTCACCTTGCATTGATATATATATAAAAAAAGAAATCTCACATCAATTTAATATTTGTTTCAACTGTGCTTCACACAATATTATTTTTCTGCTGCTATCTTAAAAAGTTGTTATGATAGCCACCATTGCCCATTTTAGTGAGCATACAGTGGTGATGTAAACGGTATCAGTAGGTGTGTAGTGCGTGAAACTTACAGGGAAACTTTTTACAGGGTGATACATTTCTTGTTGAAGATCTTTTTAATTTGTACGTTTTAAGAAGTCATATCCAAGAATGTTTCCTACCTCTGCCGTATTCAAAATCCTATCCACCCCCAGCCTTCATCCTGTCTCTCAGTTCCATTGTTGTGATGGACTTTGTAAGGTGAGAGCAGGAGTTTGATAATTACCTTGCCGACAGGAGGTCATCCAACACCACATTATCTAGTTAGCAGCCCCCTTTTTAGGAGCAACACTCTCATAATTTCAGGGCAGCAACCTTTCTCACATGGCAAATAAGAAGGCTGATTGCTCACATGCTGCAGCAAAGCCACTTGTTCTCTGCCTCGTCTTCATTGTTGGAAGCTGTAATTCTCTGATGTCATGAAAAGCAAAGTCAATTAAGAGGGTGGGATGACTTGAAAAGAAGTGTCAGTGTGAAGGGCCGACGACGACAATGCTGCATTTTAAACCCGACTATCAAAACAAGGTAAGGTGACCCAAGAGTTCTGAAGTTACAGACGACTTGGCTACTTGACGATCTCCTTCGGCCAGATGTAATTCATCTTTAATGTGTCAGGATTCAGTAAACAGCTGATGTGTTTGTGTCATGTGCCTGGTAGAAACCTAAAGCAACGCAGAAAAAAATGTTTAATTTATGCGTGAAAGCTTATTTTAAAATGTTTTAATGTACTGCAGGTTGTGCAGGCCTCTTGTATGGAGCATTTTATCTCCCAATAGCGTCAGTCTGGTGTATTTTACATTATCAGAGCTGTTTTTACATTTAGTAGTTAATGCACTTTTGCAAAACCCACGTTCATGAATTATGAATTTGACACAACATTTAGTTTATTCAAAATGCAAGTGTGGATACTGTTGGTACAAATCTGACGTCTCTGTTAATATCCAAAGCAAATTTTACTACCCAAAACAAGCGACTGGGCAAATACAGATAAGGGAATTTATGCACTAATAGTAAGTAGAGATGACAAGGCAAGGTCAGATTACATTGTTTACTGCTTTTCTGACATTTTGGGGTTTTGCTCTTGTCAGACTCTGTCATCAAAAGTGGAAAAAAACAAACAAAAGAAAACAGAGAAACAGACAAAAGAGCTGTGTGAAGGCTGCTGGGGCAAATGGTTTACTTGAAGTGAGATCAAATGTTTTAATCATTCCCAAAAACAAGTTTGTTAGGAAAGTTGTGGAAGTTGGAGTTGTTGCTACAGGTTTTTTTTTTTTTTTTTTTTGAAAATGGAAACATGTACTTGGTGAACTATCCCTATACTGGGACTGCTATGATATTTACAAAATGTAACCCACAGCTCAGGACTTTAATGAACACTTAGCAGTCTATTCAAGTTACATCTTGGCTCTCCATGAGCTTCACACAGAACCCACTCTTAAGCACTTGTTTGCACTGTTGCCACTTGCACATACTGTCGTGAAAACTGACATCCTCTGTCACCCTACCTTATCCTGTGAAACAGTGATACCTGAATTGTTTGCCTCTTTTGTGTCCATGTGTTAATTCACAACCATAAGGCAAACAGAGCAGTAACTGTTTCTTTCTACACTTACTTCTGTGATGCTTTATTTTAAAGAATAACACCATGTATAGCTCACACACTGATGTTTTCCCCCCTTTATTTACACTGTTCTTTGGGGATCATATCTGTCCTGGCCGCAGCTGGCTGCAAGAACTCACAGGCCATTAAACATAAAGCAGGCATAGCTTCAGCTCAGCTGGCTGAGTGGTCAACACTGACAACCTGATAGGGCTAACCCTTCAAGGGTGAGAGTATACGGCTCCCCTGTGTAAATGTACATGAGAAAGTGATAGCAGGCTATAGAGAAGATATAGAAGGGTTGAGTTGGGGAGGCGAGGAGCTGTCATGTCGCAGGTGTTTAGAAAGCAGCTCTGGAAACAAATTGTTTCCAAGGTCATTCAGGTAAGAATAATCCTGCAGCACTGTTGTTGTTTTGTATTGTGGTGTGTCCTTTGAGGTTTCTCTCCCATTTTAGTGTATCCGTCCACATAATTCTCATGTATTATGCAAAGCACTGGCTCTGCTGGCATTTTTAATTTACTAAAGTGTGATTTGAAATAAAATGGATAACAGAAGCTGCAAAACTTTATCGGCAGCTACTGTGTTGACTTGGGCAGTGTGTGTCGTATCTGTTCCCCAGAAGATTTGGATTAAAAATGACTAAATTTATCATAGATGCCAAATTGTGCTGTTGCACATTTTTCATCACAACTGTTTTCTCTTTAATTCCAAAAGCCACAGTTTGTTTATTATAGGGATTGTCAGTCTTGCTGTAGCTTATCTCAGGATGGAGCTTTGTTTGCTTCGAAAAGCTATTAATGTTGTAGCTGGCATTACATGGGTCTGTTAGTGCTGACTTCTGTGTCTGTGTTGTGGGAATAACAAAATGTGGATGTGTGTCATTGTCATTGTTGGAAGGTGCTATTGTTGGCTGGGGTACTTTGTGTGTTTGTGTATTGCATTCAGTGCTGACTTAGTGTGTGTGTTTGAATAATCTGCACCACGCTGCTTTGTGTCTGTATTGTTTGTGTCTGCCCTGAAGACTGAGTTGGATTACTGTTTGGTTACAATTTGGAATAAAGGCAGAGAGAAGGTGTGAAATGGCTGGTCGCCCAGCAACTGTTGGCTTGGCGTGCTTTTTTTATGGTCGACCTATGATGCAAGTGTTTGTGTGTATTATGTGTGTCTCCAGAGACTTTAACAAGGCTGGTGTTGTTTACTGTCAGTGTTCTGCAGTGGTTTGTTTAAACTTATTTGAAATACATGAATACATGTCTCTGTTTTATAATGTAAGATTAGGTGAACTTAAAAAAATCCAATACATATTTTTGGGTTGGTGTGTTTCACATGCCTGGTTACGAAAGATCTTTTCTGTTTTCATAGTTATGCAAGATATTCTTTGCTGCAGTGTAGCAGAGCCCAGATACCAACAAAAAGGCTGCTTGCATTAAGTGTAATTAAAAATGTTCATGAGTGAAGTGACTGAACTGTATGTAATGAATCACTTTCAAGCCTGTCGTCTTGTTGTGCTTTGTAATAATTCTGCTGTCTGTTGAAGTGACCTGTAATTTCCAGCCACCATTCCATAATGCTACTTAAGAAAGTTAATATTTCAGCAAATTTTGTGCACGATTTCGACGTGTTGCAGCTGGACACTATTTGGCCTCCTTAGAAAAAGTGTTGTGTGTCTTGTTTTGCTGCACATCACTGTGGGTATTGCCTGATCTTTTTTTTTTAAAGCTGCTAATGGGCTAATGTGTCGCTGCTCTCACTAACTATGTTGACACCCACCACTTGTGAGATTGTTCCTCCTCACCCTGGCTTCGCATGGCCAAACCCCTCCAGGCTCAAATAAGAACCAGTACCTTGACTCTTAAGCACTCTAACTTGTTGTGTATGTGGAATTGTGCCGTTTTTATTAAAGGCCAATTCATGTTCACACTTTTTTCTTCGCATTATAACTTCTTGCTTTCATTTTCCACCTTTTTCCATTTCTACATCTCTCTTGTCTTACTCCTCTCACCTTTTTTCCTTATCGTGAATATCCACCCGTCACATAATCTAAACTATGCCCCCTTACCTTTTTAGATATTCAGTCAGATTAATCCTTTTTCTCAGCTCTTGCTTTCTCATCTGCATCTCTTTTTTCTTTTCTGTTTTTTTTTTCATTTCTTTCTTCTTCTATTGCTTTATGTCTATCTAATAATCCCTTTCCACCTCTTAGATGTGACATCTTTTATTCCCTTTTTATGTTCATTATAATGTCTTGCAAGGTTCTATCTGGTGTGTCCTTCAAAACCTGTCACATCTGTTCTTTCCAATATGATTCTTACATGTACAGTGTGTCCTGTGCAACAGTGCAAGTACAAATTTTATCAGTCCGCTTCAGTTGGTGTGAACAAAAAACGTACATTTAAGGATACGGCTGCATGATGGTAAAATCAATGCTTTATAAAGTAGAGTGCATACAACCACATGGATGTGTAGTTGCCACACAAGGAAGAGAGAAGAGATAACACAAAGGGAAATTTGATCACTTATTGTGTGATTCTCAGTGTTAAAGTTTAACCCAATCGTTAACAATTGTCCAAATAAGACTGGTGTATAAAAGAGCTGGCTCTCAAGTGCTGTTTTTTTTTTTTTTTGGCAGCCAGTCAGAGAAGAATGAAAGCCGGCCTGTTAAAAGATGGTCTGGCCATGGTGACGTCAATGCAAAAAGTATTTTAAGCCACAAAGAACTATTGCTGTCATCTCCTGTTTAAATTCCAGACAGACAAAATGAAGAGTAAATGAGAGAATTTAAATGCACCCTGCAGCCAACACACCATGTACCACCAGGCTTCATGTAATTTATTGGCTGACCTTGTTCCTGTGTTACTAAGCAGCAGAACCTGGCAACCCATTGTGGTTGATTTTGCTGTCCCACCATCCTAAATGCAAACCATCAACTGTTGAAAACTGGCTCTTCTGTCGGTTAACCCATTCGAACAGAAACCTCAGATTATTATTATTATTTTTTTTTTATCTAGAAGGAAACTAAGAGAGTTATACAGGAGACATGGAAGGACCTCCCACAGTTAAAAAGATGGAAATTAAGCCATGCATTTGAATTTCTTGGGGGAATACTAACACCTGTTTTCAATATTTTGTGGAGCTGTAATCAAAGTACAAAAGAATACTGTGCATTGACAGAATACTGGAGATTCTAAATTGTAAAACGTTATTTAAATGATGTCTGAGTTAAAGTGTAGGGCCACAGGAGATCTTCAATCATCTGCTCATTACAAAGAGCCTCACATTCCAAGTATGTGAAATATAACTTAATGACTTTATGATCCGTTTGGTCATGCCAAGGCTTGTTTCCAGACAGTTTATAATATGAATTTTCTTTAAAAGACGTTGACTTAAATGTCAAGTGGATGTACACTGTGACATGCCATTCTAATATTCACAGTTTTCTATGTCTTGTGCTTAGCAAAAGTTGAAAGAGGAGCGTGAAGCTAAGCGGGCTCACCTGGATGGAAGGCATGACTACATCCTCAGCATCGTGGCTTCATGTCTGGGATTGGAGAAGGCTGATGTGGAAGATGCCATACTTGAGGGGAATCAGGTTATTTTAAATATTATATTACTGTAAAATATTTTGGATTAAGATGAGACTTTTACCATAACTGCACTCTGTATTAAGTGCTAAGAAGGCTACATGATGTCAATGTCTTTTCATCTTTCCTAGATTGAGCGCATGGAGCAATTCTTTGTTGCTGGTGGTCTTCCACACCTCATGTTTTACTACCAAGCCACAGAGCAAAACGAAGCAGGTAACATGAACACATATACTCAATGCATCAAAAATGAATGTAAACACTTGATTATATCCAAGTGATTGCAATGCACCAGTTTTCGGTTTTGTCTTGTATGAAATAATTTTTGTCAGTGATGCTAAATCCCATAGTTATTAAGATCATAGCGGAAAGTCAAAGATGTATTTTGCCATGATGCGTTTTGTTATTTCTGTGTCCACTTCTTGATTCAGCAGCCACAGCAACAGCTGCATCCTCTGCCTCCACACAGCTGGTTTCCCAGCAGCCCGGTCACAGCAAGAAGTCCAAAGTGTTTGTAACAGACGGGAGGGACGTGGCACTGACCGGAGTGTGTGTCTTCTTCACCAGAGCCAACACTTCGAAGGCAATTACCTCTGAGAACATACACAGAGTGAGTCAGTTGGTACTGTTTTGGGAATTATAAGTGGAAAATCATTAGGTTTGTTCAAGCTAAATGAAGGTTGATCAGTCACTTTGCCTGATTGCCTATCAACAATACACAATGAAAAAGAAATGGAATAAATTAAGTAAATCATTTACTTCTGTAGAATCGTCTGCCATCTTTTTTACAGCGATTTCCCATTTGCATGATATACGATGTGAATTCAATAAGAAAGCCTCTTTCATCCAGAGTAACAGAGCCGGTGGGGGGTTCTTCAACAGTACTGGCAGTTCTGTCTATTGATTCTTGCTGATCACCTGCTGTCTGCAGCAAAGCTAATCACCACCACTGATAACAGGTCAGGTCTGCTACAAGACACTCACAGCAGACAGGGCAGAAGGGACAGTGTGTTTGTGTCTGTAACAGAGAACGAGATTGTGTACGTGTCTGGTGCTGTGAAAGAGAGGATTGTAGAAGACCTACTGTAGCGAGTAATTTAAATTAAAATTGATTTAAAAAAATAAATAATAATAAGTCTTTTTTTTATTGTGCAAGACAAACATGAGAATACAGGGTTTAGGTGACACACAAAAAAGGGATGGCATATAGTGAAGTATGAACAAAATAACAAGGTCAAAATAAATACATAGACTAACAATTAATCATTAATAAGACTACTGCCAATATCAATAATAATGATAATAATTCTAATTTTACAGTAAGTTACTGTAAATATTTTACAGTAAGTAACTGTAAAATTACTCTGAAAGTAATGGAATTAGTGGCCAGTAATTTACTGTGAAATTACAATTTAAATACCACTGTAACATATTAGAAATTTCACTTGTTAACTGTGATTTTTCTGTTTTTTTGCTCTTACAAACATGCTTTGGATCTGCACAATAAAAATGAAAACAAAGATAATAGCCATTTTAATCTTTTAATCCTTTTAAACTTTTTTGAACAGTTCAAAACATGAGCATGAAAAAAAAGCAGATTGAAAGTGTACGCAATCTTAAAAACACTGAAAAACATTAGAACTCATATTTTTACATTGACAGCAACTCAAAGTCCACAAGTTTTTGGGAACACTGCGCTTTTTTTCTTTCGAGCCCGTCTGGGGGTTACTGCCCAAGAAGCACCTGTAAACAATAGGCCAAGAAAACATTCAGTCATTCAGTCTTCTCAGCAGTACAGGAGGAAGCTACAGCCAGGCAGCATCACAGGAGTGGGCTGACCAGAGCTACTGACAGATAAGTTCATAACGATGCTGTGACATTAACAATGACTCAACATGTCTCCTGTTTAACTGTCTTTGTCATGTGCCAGGACAACTGAGGCATTGCGTCGGTCATGCTTTTCATTTCCGTTGCTAAAGTTATGCTAACCTAGCTTAAGTTACTCCCTGTCTGTTTGTTAGCAATAACATCGCTGTAGTTATGCCAACCTAGCATAGCATTAGCTAACAGCTTAAAGCCAGTAAGTAACTGTAGAAATAACGAAAGTGTACAAAATATCATCACATCAGTCCATCAGCTGGTTATTAATGATATCAATGTTAGATGCTAAAGTATGTTTTAATTCTCCATGCATCTAACAGTGTAGATAAAATGAATGCAGGACTTTAGCATTGGCTGCAAATCACAATATGGTGGAAATGAGCTCCTTGGCGGAGGTCTGCGCTCTCCCAGTGCTTTTCTACTAATTTTTTAATTCATTATTTTACATTAACAGTACAAAAAGTCCCCAAACATGGCTGCTCTGTACATGCTACTACAGGCTCAAACCAAAGCCAACACAAATCTGTACGTGTTTTTAACGGTGGTTCAGGTCCAGCTGCGCTTTTCTCCGTTACCTTCGACGGAACCGGCTGTGCACGCGTGTGTGTTGTCGTAAAGTGCCGTTACAGCGCGCCTGTGGCTCGCTAACAGACGATCCCGGTGAGGCCATGCCACCTGAGTGACACGTAGATCGCCCGAAACAACGAATGAAAATGAAACTCGTTGATTTAACCCATTTATATCCGCTCCAAAGTTCACAACAAGTTAGCAGCAAGCTACAAGCAGCATGAGGATGTGACCGTCAGAAAACGAGGCGTCGAGCCAACTCCCACAATGCAGTGTGGTTCATGTCATTTTTTGTTGTGTTATCACAGAATATGGACTGAATACAGTATTTCATTGTGAAATAATACAGCAAAGTGTTGGTAATATCCTGGTTATGCAAAGCTTACTGTAATTACCCGTGCTTACATTGATTTTATAGTAAAATTCAAAATGCAAGTATTATATTGTGAATATTACAATTAAAGCTGGTACAGTGATAAAACAGTTATTTATTGTGAAATATTACAGTTAAATACTTTGAAACCCTGGTAATACTTTACAGTGTAGGAATTATATTGCATAATTACAAGGATGCAGCAGTGGAGAGGTTAGCCCAGACTGGAGATAATGCCTTGGGGGTTGCCCTCAGACCGCGATGGGAGAGAGCTGACCCATTGTGGCCCTTCAAAACAACCCCTAGACCGTTGGGAAGGAGCCTATTTATCAGGGATCTCACAGTCTCGAGGTCATTAGCAAAAATATAGGATCGTTCTCCATATACAAACAGGTCCGTCAGCATGAACTCCCTCAGAGTGGGCCGAGCCCAAACTCCTCAATCACAGTGTGTGGGGCAGATCTTCACAACTATCTTTATTGGAGAATACTACTACTACTACTACTACTACTAATAAAAACAATAACAATAATGAAAGATGATAGGAATAATGAGAAGAAGAATAATAGTGATCGAGATGCAAAGAATTTTTGGTCTTCCAGTTTAAAAATATATATTTTTTGGCGATAGTTAGAGAAATAAGAAGTGGATTTTGATGTTTGATTGGAAGGTTGTCGATTTCTGGAATATTTCCTAGTAAACACAGTGATGGCGATAGAGGGATTCTGCGGATCAAAATAGTGGAGAATTTCTGAGTTACTGTTGTCCAGAAAGAGTGAACAGGTGAACAAATCCATGTGGTGTGAAACTAATCATCAGTGCTACCCAAAGTGCGTTGTGAGCATGTGTCTGTGTCTGTTAGTCCCATTTTAAATATTTTCCTTTGGGTGATGTGAGATCTGTGGAGAGTTTTGTACTGTGTAAGTTGTAGATTTGTTTTTGCTGGTCATAGAGAAAATATTGTTGCAGATTTTGGTCCAGAAATTGGATTTGGGTGAGAAAGTGAGATTGTATTCCCGTTTTGCTGTTAGACATGCTACTGCTGTGTCTGAATTGGATATGAGCTTATAAAGTTTAGATATCAATTTATTTGAGTTGGTGATTCACTAGTTTATGGAGCTGTAATAGATTGTTAGTGATATTTGTCCTAGATTTGATTAAAGATTTTAATTGTTGGTAATGAAGAAATTGTTCTTTCCCCAGTCCGAACTTCTGGACCAGTGCATTGAATGACATAAATTGATTATTTTGAAATAAGTGGGAGTTATTCCCTTTTGCTGCCGTAAAGGAAAGTGAATGGGGTGACTGTACAGTTGAAAATCTGGGTTGTGCCAAATTGTTTTGTATTTGCATGGTGCTGAAAGTGATGTTGTCATTTTGTTTACTTTCCACCAGACTGTCAGAGTTGAATTGATTATGGTAATTTTGTAGTATTTTTAAAAAAAAAATTGAACTCAGTAAGAAAGGTAAGTCGAAGAGTAAAGTATTATTGCACTGGTTTTTTTCTATTTCAGTCCAGGAGTTGTTGGGAGTGTCATTTTGGATCCATTTCACTAGATATTGTAGTTGGTTTGCCAAGTAATAGTGGTAGAGATTGGGTGCACCAAGCCCCCCTAATGATTTCTGTTTTTGTAAAGTTGCCATGGAGATTTTGGTCTTTTTATTTTTCCAATAGAATTTTAATAAAGGTGAGTTAATTGATTAAAACCAGTTGTCTGTAGGAGTTGATGGGAGTACTGAGAACAGATAGTTGATTTGTGGTAATATTTTCATTTCGATTGTCGATATTCTACCAATAAGAGAGAGTGGGAGGTTTGTCCAGCATTTAAGATTATGCTCTATCTTGTTTAAAAGGGGGATATAATTAAGATTACAGAGCTCTGACAGCCTGGGGGAAATATTAATGCCTTAATATTTAATAGGGCAGCTGTGGCTCAGGTGGTAGAGCGGGTTGTCCTCCAATCGCAAGGTTGGTGGTTCGATTCCCCCGCCCTGCCACAGACGAAGTGTCCTTGGACAAGACACTGAACCCGAAGTTGCTCCCAATGGCAGGCAGCACCTTGCATGGCAGCTCTGTCACCATTGGTGTATGAATGTGTGTGAATGAGAAACACATTGTAAAGTGCTTTGGATAAAAGCGCTATATAAGTGACCATTTATTGCCAGTGTTTAGTGGAAGAGAATTAAATTAACTAAATGAGGTGTAGCTCATGCTTACACTTGTGAAATGTTTCATGGAAGTTTTTTTTCAGTTTATATACTTGTACACTGTTGTCTTTTTCCAGGATGTGAATTTCAACATGTTGGACACAACAGAAGTAGGCCTGTTAAAGAGTGTGGAGCAGTTGCTCTCTGAGATTTTTATCCCCACGCTGAGGAAGATGAACCATGGCTGGGGGGAGCTAGCCCAGGCCCCAGCTGTCAAAGACGACTTCATATCCTCATTGGAAAGCTTTGTGTCCGTCTTGGCTGGAGCACAGGAGAGTCTGCAAGAAAAGGTAGGAAACAATGACATTTTTCAGGAATTAGTCAAAGCCTACAAAATGACAAACTAATTTAAATATTTGTGCCGATATCACACCTGTTCCAATACGTAGGAATTTAGAAGTTGCTTAGCAAATATTAATATAGATCAATAAGATGTGTTAATTAATATTAATAGTATAAATCTCTTTCCTTTCCTGTATTGTATTGCCTGCTTCGTTAAAGTAATAAGACACTCAGTAAGAGCTCCCCAACAAGTATTATAGCTCTAAAATAACTGTGCATTGACCTGTTTCGATCGCAGCTTGTTTACTGATGCAATAAAATGCTTGTCGCATTCCGAGACAAATAAATTCTAAACATCACAGAATGAAGAAAAAAAAATCAATCCTGTCATGGCTTGCCTCCAGGTTACCTTGAAAGAGTGCGACACATTTGACTTGCGGGTGCTGAAAGGCCCATCCGACTACATGGCAGCAGCCAACAGCACAGAGACCATCGAAAAGATAGAGGCCTGCATGAAAGTGTGGATCAAACAAATAGAACAGGTAAGAAGTTATTTTCAAGCGTGCCATTTATCTTCAAACTTGCTGTGATTTTGTGCTTCTGTACAGCGTGTTGTGAAGAGCAGCTTATGGCTGGGTTTTAAAAGGGGATTTATTCCCAGATCCGGGTTTGCTTGGATTCTCTTTGAATGTGCTTTGAATGTGTAGCAGGTAAAACTCAACAGCTCAAGTGGGAGACAAAAATGTGATTGGGTGTGTGTTGAATATTGCATAGAGCTGGAACAACAAATACTTAAAAAGCATGTTCATCCTAAAAAAGAAGTAATGCTATCTAACAGTGCAGATGCAAAGTATTATTATTATTTTTTTCATCATAGAGTTAATTTATTTTAGTATGACTGAATGAAGGATTGTAGCACCACACACTATTATGCAATTGTATTCATTTTATATGTACATTTAATGTTCCAACTTAATTCTGGGTCCACTGGGGAAGGGCACAAGTCTACCACAATAAAATGACTAAATGGAATATGGCAAGTCCAGAGAAAGCAAAGGCTAAACTACCGAAAGGGTGCTTGAACAGTGAGCCAATATTTAATGAAGCACGTGTGTTCTCCAGGTTCTGGCTGAGAGTGACCAGCTTAGAAAGGAGGCCGATGATCTCGGTCCTCGGGCTGAGCTGGACCACTGGAAGAAACGAATGTCCCGCTTCAACTACCTCCTGGACCAGCTGAAGAGCCCTGCTGTCAAGGCTGTGCTGGGTGTGCTGTTGATGGCCAAATCTAAGCTGATAAAGGTCAGAACTGTGCACATGTCTTCAACTTTACTGCTTTGTAAAACACAATTTTGATTCTGCCAAAATGTTCTCTTTGCATCATTTCAGTGTTTCGTTCCTGTTTCCTTAAAAGATTTTATTTTCAAAAAAAGCTTCAATGTAAAATGTTTAAGATAGTAATGTTTAGAGTGTCACAGTCTTACAATAAATGTAATAAGGGTGTGTTTGATTCAGTCATGGCGGGAGCTGGACATTAGGATCACTGATGCAGCCAATGAGGCCAAAGACAATGTCAAGTACCTCTACAGCCTGGAGAAGTTTTGTGACCCTCTCTACAACAGTGGTCCTGTAAGAAAACTCTTTCATCTTTTAAAAAATCCAGCGGTCTGCAGCATTAAAACCAAAATAATATATGAAAACGTCTAATTAAGACAGATATGTAAATTTCAGTGGTTTCTGTTTCAGGTGTCAATGGTGGATGCAATCCCAGGTCTGATTCATGCCATCAGGATGATTCACAGTATTTCTCGCCATTACAACACATCAGAAAAGATTACGTCACTTTTTGTTAAGGTAGGTATGACTGCTGTTCTGCAAAATGGAACAAAGATAAAGTGGATCATATTGTAATCAACAGATTGATTCAGAAACTGTGTTTGGAGATCTGTAATTTTCAGGCTTTTTGTGGATGAATAAAAAGAAACATTGAAACAGTAAATTATTGCCCACTTTTAAGCACAAATGTTTCCATTTAAAACATCCTCTTGTACAATTTAAAGGATTTAGTCATGAAATAATAGATGGGAACAGAAAATGACACATGCAGCACTTATACAAATTTTCCATTTGACCTTTGGACACCTGTGCTGATAATTTGAGCGCTAATGTATTTTGGTTTTGTGTTTAGTCTCAAGTTGATTGAAGTTGATGGGATCCACAAAAAAATACAAATGTATATCATCTTCATTTTACTATCTTCAGGTGACAAACCAGATGATCACAGCCTGCAAAGCCTACATCACCAATAATGGCTCTAATTCAATATGGGACCAACCTCAGGAAGTTGTTGCAGACAGAATCAAAGCTGCAATACACCTAAACCAGGTAATTATACTGCTTATTGGAATAATGTGTTGTTTCTGTATCGTCAATAAATGTGCTTTCTTTGCAGCAGCATATCTGTATCAATTTGATTCATTATGAATTAATTAAGAAATGTCAATCCTAGATTTAAAAAAAAAAACAAAAACAATTTGAGTCTATTCCCTGATATCACCCAGGAAGCAAAGTTACCTTTCCTCCAGAAATCATTACCACCTCGATACAATAGGTGTATGAAAATGATGGGGTTTTTTTTTGCGTCAAACCGTGTTGTCCAGGAGTACCAGCGCTGTTTTCATAAAACCAAAAAGAAACTGGAAGAGACTCCCTCAGAGAGACAGTTTGACTTCAGTGAGATGTACATCTTCGGGAAGTTTGACACATTCCAGCGACGTCTCAACAAGATCCTGGAGATGTTCAGCACCATTTCCACCTACTCTGCGCTCCAGGACTCTAAGATAGAGGGACTGGAGACCATGGCAACCAGATATCAGGTAGGTATACGGTTCAATCGGATTGTTGTCAAAACATTTTGACAACACTGTGAGACGTTGCATTAACTGATGAAATGCCATTGCAAACCAGCTAGGCCAGTGTTTCTCTGGGCATCTACTGATAATAAATGTGTTGGCAAATGGAAGCTTTTACAGCAAGTTGAATGTTTGCTTTACAGCTAATACATATGCGGAATTTGAAAAACATTGATGGTGTAGAGTTTCTTGGGAATGACTTGGAAAAGCTGGACATTGCAATGTGAAATTATTTGAAAAATTATTTAGAATAGGGAACGAAATTAAAAACAAACATTTAAAGTTTATATATTGTATTTTCTATACTGACGACTCAAGATTACATTTAATGATTACAATTACTAAATTACCTAAATGCCTGTGACGTTAAAGGAAAGGAATATAGACACTGAGTGCATTAATGGTATAAATGTCAGTGCAACTCAGGAAAGAGCAATAAGTGAGTCTGTTAACACGGAGCTTCAAGCTATACAATTAGAGTTCACGGTGGCAGATTACTGTATTTTTTTCCTGGCTTCCTGCCGTGTAAAATAATAATTTCATATTGTACTGTATTGCGTTATAGAAAGGTGTTTCTTCAATAGGCAGTACACTGTCTGTAATTGGTGTACCGACGTTTGCCCTTGAGAGTTTATTGATGTGAGCTATTCGTTTGTTTCCTGCTTCCTTGGATGTACAGACTGTAGAAATGCAGGAGAAATGGAAGGTAATGTATCACTGGTCTCACAGGTCTTCAGCTTGTAGCAATGCATGCTTCATTTTCATTTATTTTTACTGAAGCATGAAGCGCGACTGTACAAATAACGATATGACCAAACTAACTGCATGAGAACCAACTATGAACAGAGAACCAGAAGTTTACCCCCGGTTTATTAAAGATCCATGCAAGTTTTTTCAAGTTTTTTTAATAATAGGCCAAGTGCTATTAACTACATAGTATTTGTTTTTCATTAAATTTTCCTTTGTGTTGTGTTGAGGACATCTTGCTTTACAGACTTTACATGACCTGCAAACTTCCCTGTTTAATTTAACGTGGTTCTAAACACTAAAAAAGACAAATTGTGTGCATTTCACTAAGGTATGTGCCACTGATGTTTCCAGTACTATTACGCTTTAAAGACCAAACTGATACAGTCCAGCATTATACAGTCGGGACTCGATAATCCGACACTAAATGTAAAACCTTCTTTTATGTCGGATAGCAAGGCTGTCGGATTGTCAAGACAGAGGTCGAGATACAAGGAGGGCTTGATGCTTGAAGGGTCATTTGTTGTTAATTATTGTTCATAGTTGTTATAATAACCAGAAGGGCTGGTCCGAATAGCACTTTCTGGTCTCAGCATATTTGGGCCAAATTAATGATGAATATCTGAACATTTGGCGTGGTCGGAGGGATGCTTCCACCCCAGGGGAGCGCTCCGACGGGGTGGAAGTGGTCGCAACGCACAGGCAGTACTTGGCTGCTGATGCCAGTTTAGTTAGCGGTCACACTTCTGTTTCCACCATCGGTGGCAGATACGCTCCACCGTTACCATCCATGTTTACTTCCGTAAACACTGAGCACGGTCACTGCATGTGACGTCATCGTGTCCTCTCCTGCGCATGCAGGACACTTTTGGGTCGTATGAAGTTCACACAGCAGATCACATACAAGTGGCATTTAATTGGAAATGTGAACGTACTCGCAAAAAAATCGGATTTCACAAAAAAATCCGAACTGAGCATTAAGTCCTGCAGTCTGAACGTAGCCAATCTGTCGGATTGTTAAGTCAGGTAATACACTGTTATCCTTATTTGTGACAGAAAATGTCATGTCAGAGTCGGAATCCAAGGCTGTCGGTATGTTAAGGCTATTTTATATGGGTTCCCTTAGTTTTTCCTAAAAACCTGTCTGATAGCAAGGTTTTCGGATTTTTAAGGGTCGGATTATTGAGTCACAACTGTATTTATTAAAGGATTTGAATTGATTGCACATTATCCTGCAAAACGTGCTAAACATCTTGCACAGAAAATAATTGTAATTGCATTCTTATACAATATCAGATCTTTTTCTCTCATTTTCTAACCTTTCATGATATAAACATATGCTATCGATTATACAGGCGACATTAGATTATGGAGGTATCTTGTACAGCATCATCCTCAGTCACCACTGGCGGTTATGTGAAATGGTCGGATGGTCATCAGTGGCACCTAGAAGGCATCAGCAGATCTGTGTCTTCATTTGTAGAGCCTTGCTATCTAAACGTCTGACCTATTTAACATCTTTACTAGAGTTCAGAGTTAATAACCGTAACCACAGACCACAGGAGAGACAGGCTTTGAAAGTTCTTTGCACTAATGCTGAACTAGGGACGACCGGTTTCTAGCAGAAGGCACCTTACCGCGGTAATGAGCTACAACACAGCTTGAAGTTATAGACACTCACTCCTCTGAGGGACTTTAACTTCACATGCGTATATTTCTAACACTATTCAGAACTGTTTTAATTAGTGTGATCATATGTCTGCGTGTGAACGAATGACTCATTGCTGTGATCCTGTGTATATGTAATTTGTTCTTAGATCTTGATCTCATTGAGAACTCCCTAAATAGATTAAAGCTCAACAAACTAACTGAATGTTTTGCTTCATGCTGTCCAGTTTGCCTGCTGTAATTCTATCAGTCCTTTCATGATCCAAGTAACCAAACAGAGCTGGATTAAATGAGATTGCAGACTTCTGCTTTTCTAGAAATTGAAAGTTGCATTTTCAGTGTGTCCATAGTTATTGTTAAGCTTCAAGATGCGGCATTACTTTTCAATTCTATTATATATTCTGTGTTGTGTTATAACCCTGAATAACTCCCAGATGAAGGTGATGTGTTTCCATTCTTTAGTTCTTACACATAGCTAGAAACAGCTGAAAATAGAACTATAGACTAACTCAAGTTGGAGCATTGCCTTGTTGGAATTTAATGGCTATTATAGGCTATTTAATAATAACTTGTGCATGCATGTGTGTTTGTATGTGTCAATGTCGGTGGGCATGATAGGCTATTGTGCTGAACATGAAGAAAAAAAACTACAGTTTCCTAGATCAGAGAAGAACTGACTTCGATGTGGACTATGAGGAATTCTGCAAAAGCACCTCTGAGCTCCATGTAAGTCAATTGCAAACACGAGTAATGTTTCTCTATGTTCCACACACAATACAGTTAAAGCGAAAAAAAAGACAGAAATACAGCCTGTATCCTGGAGCTCTCCCCTCACTGTTCCAAGCTCCTCATACCAGACGAGTGCAGGAACATGTACAGTCTTCAACAATACTCGAGCTAAAAATCAACATTCGCTTGTGACTTCACAGAAAGATTCAAATCCTGCTCTCTTAAATGAAAGTCCTCCATCTAACCCACTACACTTTCCACTCACTGTAGACTTTATTGCTCTTTATACTATTTTTTCTGCTCTGGGTGAAAAGACCTCTGATTGGTTGAAGTCTGCTGTCACAGGCTAGATTTTCTAAGACCTGAAAATGGAGCCAAGAGGAGGATTAGAAGTCTAATTTCCTCTCAGACCACCTAAATTGCAATGTTGTGAGAGGTGTCATAGAAGTCTGGCTCAATGATGCCAAAAAAGCTTCCTACATCACCTGTAATAGAACAATGTATTTAGATACTTGATACCAATCCCAATATGGGATCACCAAAGTCGTTCTGCTAGTGAGGAAGATAAAGGCACAAGTTGTCCCGTACAAGTACAACAAAATTGTAAGAGACAATGACATGTTAGTCGAATTTAATATACAACTATGCTGGATGTGCTGTGAAAATGTGAAAACATTGGTGGTCTTATTATACCATGGTTGGAACTAAGGGGGTACAGAGGGTTTGAGTTCATTTGTGTAAACAGTTTCACCTCCAAAGGCCCTTTTGTACCTGATTTTGTTGTTGGTGTTTGTGTTTCCAGAACCAGCTGAAGAGGTTCATGGATAGCACCTTTGACAAAATTCAAAACACAGAAAGAGCAATCGACGTGCTGAAGAAATTTGAACGGTAAAACAGCCCTAACAACTTCTTAACATCCAAATTATTAAGCATATCTATCTATCTATCTATCTATCTATCTATCTATCTATCTATCTATCTATCTATCTATCTATCTATCTATCTATCTATCTATCTATCTATC